TCCCCCCGCAATCCCAGACACCCCCCCTCCCAAACCAGTACAAACAGCCATTTATCCTGAGCAACCTGAGTGTTGCACATGCCCAGATTCTCCTTTAACAACTTGTAGCAAATTTCTAGAAGTAGATATGTAATTATTTTCCAGAACGAAGGACAGTTTAAAAAATGCTGAGAACCAACCTCAACTTGATCAGCAGGTTTTATTAAATTTAAAATTCAATGATATAAAATGTATCCTCTACATGTGTAGATAAGGCACAATGATACCTAATAAAAGCAAAGGATTGCTGCAGATATGATCTTTACAAGACATTTTCCATTAGCAAAGAAATTCTTATCCCTCAGAACAAAATAGGCATGTGTATTATACTTTGAAAAGTGATAAGAAAAACTTGCTGAAGGCTAATTCACCAGTTCTGAGGTGAATGTGCCCTCAGAAAACATCTCATAACAGAAAATTGTCAGCCATTACATTTTCATTAAATGATTATTCAACAGTTTTTACATTTATGTGGAGGACTGTTCTGACGTAGTACATTATCTAGTGATGTTTGTAGAAGTGACCCAAGGATTAGCCAAAATCAGGTAACATTTTAAAGTATATGGTTTTGTTAATGGTAATGTAATGCAGTCTTGCATCACATTAAAATGTACTAATTACCATGCTTTCTAAATAATATTTCCATGAGGATGCATCTTAAATATGTGTATAAGTATGTTTAAGCAGATAGAGGTTCACATTTATTTAACAGTCAAAAATCAGTAACCACGTTTGATTTGGTAGAGGTTTGGTAAAAGCCATTTTCCAGCTTTTTTTTTTTTTTTTTCTCCAAACATCAGTATGCTGAATGGGCCTGAAATAATTATTGTAATGGGAACATCAAGGAAATCTGCGTTGTTGCTTCATTCATGTGAAAAATTAAGAGTTTGTTTTCATTGTAGGAGGTAGAATTCAGCAAATATCTCTGAAAATTGCAGAATCACTATGGTCAGAAAGGACCTTTAAGATCATTGAGTCCAACCATTATCCAGCTCTACCAGGCCACTTCTACACCATATCTCTGAGCACCCCATCTAGACATCTTTTAAATACATCCAGGGATGGTGGTTCAACCACTTCCCTGGGAAGCCTGTTCCAGTCCTTAACCCTTTTGGTGTAGAAGTTTTTCTTAATGCCTAACCTCAGCCTTCCCTGGTGTAACTTAATACCATTGCCGTCTGTCATTTCCAGCCTGTAAGAAGAGGCCAACACCCGACTCCCTACAACCGCCTTTCAGGTCGTTGTAGAGGGCGATAAGGTCTCACCTCAGCCTCCTCTTCTTCACGCTGAACACCCCCATTTCCCTCAGCTGCTTCTCATAAGATTTATCCTCAAGACCCTTGACCAGCTTTGTTGCCCTTCTTTGCACTCTCTGCAGAACCTCAACATCCTTCTTGTACTATGGTGCCCAAAACTGAACACAGTACTCACAATGCAGCCTCACCAGTGCCGAGTACAGTGGGACAATCACTTCTCTAGTCCTGCTGACTACACCATTCCTAATACAAGCCAGGATGCCATTGGCCTTCTTGGCCACCTGGGTACACTACTGGCTCATGTTCAGTCAGCTGTCAGTCAACACCCCCAGGTCCCTTTCTGTCCCTTTTTGCCAAGCAGCTTTCCCGCCACTCCTCCCCAAGTCTAGAGCTGTGCCTGGGGTTGCTGCAGCCCTGGTGCAGGACTCAGCACTTGGCCTTGGCTTGTTAGAGCTCATACAGTTGACCTCAGCCCATTGCTCCAGCCTGTCCAGATCCCTCTGAAGGGCCTTCCTCCCTCAAGCAGATCAACACTCCCACCCAAACTGGTGTCATCTGCCAGCTAACTGAGGGTGCTCTCAATCTCCTGATCAAGATCATTGATAAAGATGTTAAAGAGGAGCAGCCCCAGCCCTGAGCCCTGGGGACACCACTTGTGACCGGCCCCAGGCAGATGTAACTCCATTCCCCACCACTCTCTGGGCCCAGCCATCCAGCCAGTGGGGACCCAGCAGAGTGTGCGCCCAGCAGGGCCCAGGGCAGCCAGCTGTGTGATGGGGTGCTGTGGGGCACAGGATCAAAGGCTTTGCTGAAGTCAAGATAAACACCATCCACAGACTTTCCCTCATCCACCAAGTGGGTCACCTTGTCAGAAAAGGAGGTGAGGTTTGTTAAGCAGGACCTGACCTTCATGAACTTGTGCTGACTGGGCCTGATGGCCTGGTTACCCTGTCTGTAAATGTTGTGTTATGGCACTTAAGATCATCTCCTCCATGACTTTTCCTGGCACCGAGGTCTACAGACTGACAGGTCTGTAGTTCCCAGGATCCTCCTTCCTGCCCTTCTTGTAAATGGGCATCACATTAGCCAGTCTCTAGTCCATTGGGACCTCCCCAGTTAGCCAGGACTTTGGCTAAATCATGAGGAGTGGCTTAGTAAACCCATCAGCTTAATGTAGTAGCGGAAGGTATTTCATACATATTAGCCCTTAGGGAAATAAAGTGAAAATAATTTCCATGGACTAATGTAGCAATAAGGCCCTTCAAACACCAAACAAAACCACAAAGTGATATCTTTCTACCTCCTCTGCCTTTCTTTATCCTCTCTCTTCCCAGGCCTCCCTCTACCCTCACCTACCTCCCAAACAAAATAGCAGTGCTGGAAAATCATCAAACGGGACTCGATGGGAAACACTACCAGATGCATAGCTGAAGGGCACTGGAAAGAGATGCAGCTTTGTAGTACGAGACAGACTTTCAGATAATTGTGTCTAATAAACTGTTATTGTAGTAGTAGGTTAGTACTGGAACTATTTTTAGTTTTGACGTTTCTGTGTTTATTTTAGTTGTCTTAAAGTCACACCTTTTCATAATTACTGTAATTTTAAAGTTGTTAGGTATCTATGATGGCAAGGAATTATTATTATTATATGGTTGGTGGTTGCTGTCTGGTCTTAAACAGTGGGTATCTGCATTATAAAGCTGGTGTTACAGAGGTGTCTGAGTTGGTAAGCACAGGAAAGAGCCTGAGGTTGAAGACTGGGCCATTTTTTTGTTCTCTGCAGGGTATTTTCACACAACGATATTGAAGTATGGATGTGGCAAAACTTTCACAGTTGTCCTTTTGTTCTCTCATAATGATGAGAAAAAGAGTTTGGTTGCAGATACGTTGATCTGCTGTTCTTTGTGAACTCTAACTTTACTTGAAATAAAACATAGCTTGTTGTACATTCGGCTGTATACGTTTGTTTAATGTATGTGTTACATATTTGTTTAACCTGCTGAGGCTGTATCTTACATAAGCTGTTTCTAAAATACCTGTGCTATCACAAAATGATTGAGTTTAGAAGTAATATCTTAAAATAGTCTAATCCAGCCCCTCTGCTCCAAGCAAGATCAGCTAGAGCCAGACGCCCAGGGCCATGTCCAGTTGGGATTTAAGTACGCTCGAGAATAGATACTTCAAAACCTTTTTGGGCAACCTGTTCCAGTGTTTGATCACCTTCACAGTAAAAAAGTGTTTTCTTGTGTTCAGATGGAATTTTGTATCTTTAAATTTGTTCCCAGTCGCCAATTGTCCGGTCAGTGGGCACCACAGAGAAGAGCCTGTCTCAGTCTTCATGCCCTCCCATCATGTATGTATAAACACTGGTAAGGTTCCCCCTCAAGCTATCTGTGTTCCAGGCAGAACAAACCCAGCTCAGCTCTTTCAACTTTTCCTCATGTGAGAGTTGATCCAGTATTTTAATCATCAGCAGTGAGTACTTTTGAAGCATTACCCAATTCATCAATGAACAGAGTGTACAGACAAGTCTTGTCCCTCCTATGTTTTTTTTCCACAACTTCTTGTTTGGTTGGTTGGTTTTGTAAAGAAAAAATAATGATATTAATGAGTACTGGAGACAGCTCTTGCTTTTAAAAAAAAAAATCTCGTCTCGTAATAAGAAAAAAACCTAACCTGTTACGTTTGTGCCAACAAATGGGAATTTATTCCAGTGGTTTCCTGTTTGCTCCAGAGGGTGGTAATTTTCTGTATTAACTTCAGTCAAATACTAGTACTTGAGGTTCTAGAAGACCACAGCATAAAGTATTGTTAATAAAAAGGATCCTCTTACCTAATAGGTCTTTTGCTAAATGAAGGATAATTTTGTCCCATATGGCTTCATCTGCTTTGGACCTGTCAGCATTAAAAAAAAAAAAAAAAAAAAAAAGCAAGTCTGTGAAGTGATCCTTACAGCAAAGGATATTTACTCTATGAATTTATTCTAATTCTTTTACAGGAACTATTGTTCGACGGCATCGGATTCCACTTCCACCTCCTCAGCAAGATCAGTTCTATACTATAGATCATTTCAATATCAACATAGAACTAATCCTTTATGCCCGAAAATATAAGATCATAGATTGTGACCAGTTTACAAAAAATTTCTTGAGGAAGATGGGATTTAGATTAAATCCTCCTGCAGATCGTCCAGATGACCCATACACCAAAGAGCGACAAAAGGTCAGATGAGGCAGTAACAGTGAAAACTGTATTCCAATAGAAGTGCCATTGATATTAGCAATATGCATTATATAAACTATTTCTCTAATAACAAATAGAAAGTGGCTATTTCAACATCAGGAATCCAAAAAGAAAACTTGCTTTTAAAAATTTTACTCTGTGGCTCATAGTACTAACATAGTGAATTCCCCTGATGTGTTCAAACACTTTTTGAAACAGAACAACATTAATTGGTAAAAATAAAATAAACCTTTCAGTATTAAACTGCAAAGAAGAAGGAATGGCCCTATTATATGTTCTACTTATGATTTTACTTGAGCTAATTTAATAATAATAAACACTTTTAAAGTGTTTAAAGGAAGATCTAAATGGAACTGTGCTTCAAGCACATCCATGGCTTCAGCAGACTTACTTGGTCTGTTCATATGTCATCTTTCATTTCTACTCCACATGTTATTAACAGCTCTTTGCATGTGTAAAGCAAATTATTCTGCTACACAGAACCCAGAACTCTGCAGTTTTAAGACTTGTGAAGGTAGAACCTCAGGCAGGTTGAAGGTTTGAAGGCAGTTCCCTCTTTCATTGAGTATATGGGAACATCTACACACCTCCTCCAAAAAAATCTCACTTGCAGCTCCTAGATACTCTGTGGATTCACCTCTGCAGGATTTGGGGTCTTTTTTCTGGGAAGAGTAGCAGGAGTGATGTTTTCTGTAGGGAATGACAGTTTCTTTCAGTTCTGTTTTTCTTGATTAATGAGAGTGCAGTTGGCACTTTATTTTTTCTCTTGACCTGGCTCTGTGAGGACTGTGGGCCCACGATACGTGGCCTGTTGTGACAGATCTGGCCTAGTGCTCTGAAAGCAACAAATACTCCATGTATCTGTTGTGTTCAACTTAATACTCCTATCAAGAAAACTGCTGCAGCTCTCAGCAGCAAAAATGGAAGGTAATGATGGCTGAGATGTGTAGGACAACTTGCATGTCTCCGAGGTACTTTCAGGCCAACGTGTTGGTTCCATTCATTCGTACTTTCAGGCTTTTTGCAGTCCACCCATGAAAAGCAGTATTTGGAATATGTTTCCTGGTTCTGTGTAGAGGTGACTCAGGCTGACCATGGGTTGCCTTCCCTTTACTCAGGCCTTGCACACAACAGATGTGTATTGACACATGCTGAATTGTCTTGATATTAGCAGACTGTGTCAACATTATATATGGTACTGCATAACCTGCTTAGTCTATTTTTTGTTTGTAAAAACAACAAGCAAAAAGACTATTCAAGTATTACACGTGTGGCTAAAGAGAATGTAGAGGGGAAAAATGTTTGAGAAATCTGAGCATCAGAAAACAAAAAATTACTGAAATCCATGTCTTAACATTCTTATTTGTTGAGAAATTAAAGTTATCTAGCACATTCTGGCAGCTCTATGCCCTCACTTTCCTGTGACTAATTTGTGGAAGGTAATTTTTTTTATTTATTGAGGGTGGATTTCTCTGGACTGCTTTGAGCAAAATTAAATCGGTTTGCACCAGACTTCTACTACTAGATGGCCAGAAAATGAAGATATGGAGGAAAGGAAGGAATGTGATGAGACAGAAAACAGAACCAATGAAAAATGTAACAACCTCTTTAGATTCATATTTCTATGTTGTTGGAGATGATATACCATGGGTGATGATGTTATCTGTGTCTATATTTGGTTACTCACTGCATCTTCAGGGGTTAGGAAGGAGGAAAAATGATACTGGGATTGTAAAGTACCTGAGTTGTAGCATATGAACATGATGATTTCTGAACGGGAGAGAATACTGCAGATCAGCAGAGACTTTGGCAGGCAAAACTTGGTTCTGCTCTCCTTATTTTAAGATTTAGTGCTCTGACAGGACGGGCCTTTTCCCTCTCAGACTTTTAAGGCCAGAAGTTGTATCAGTGGATAACTAAAAAATTAGTCAATGTTATAAACTGCCCGTAGTCAACGATTCTTTCTGTTCAGACAATTCGGCTTACATTGCCTCATTGATGTCTATCAATGATTTTTTTTGTAGAATTTTGTAGATTAAAAGGACTGTCCCGCCTCTTTAACCCACTTTGGACATGATGGATTTCATCTTTGGAAAAACACCCTGTTCAGGTCACCATTTATCTGTGTGACTGTAACTAACAATATGTAAATGCAGCCCTCGGGTTGGATCATCATGCTGGAATCCAACTTAAAGCAGTGCTACGGGTTCTGCAGCAACCATGACTCTAGGTAGCATGTTGTCATAGATGACATCAGTTGGATATACCCTTAGTTGGAGATTTGCTATTCCTTTTGAGACCTATTGGTTAATATTGAGAGGAGAACATACATACCCAGTACCTGCCAACCGTATGACATGAATAAAAAGTTAATAAACTATGTTTTAAAGCTAAAAGAAAGAAAACACCCAAGGAAAAGTAAATAAATAATTATTTATACCATATCATCTAGAAAAAATAATTTTTAAGGAAGTAAACCAGGAAGGTTGATGCTATTTTGGAGTTGTAGTCATCTGATTACCATAGGCAATTTGCTGAAAATGTGAGCTGTACTATAAATAGTTTAACAATTCTCTGATCGGAAGGACCTTGTTGCAAGAAAAACAAGGATGAAAACAAATCCAAAATAGTTTCATCTGAGGGCACAGCAATGTTGTAAATAGTTCTTTGGTAATGGCATAAAGAGTATTTCATGTACTGTAATTGTATGCTGTTGTTTGAAAATCCTAGAAGCAGGTTCTAAGATTAGATGATATCCTAGCGTTTGATATCCCAGTTTTAAGAGCAAATAATGAAAAAGATGTTTCTCTTAATTTCTCCTTTACCTGCAGATTCTGGATAGTATGAACCCATTGCGCCCTTTTGAGCGCATTGACACTTTGAAACAATTTCTGGAGCATGATGGACACGTTTTACGTTTTTTCTGTGTGTGGGATGACCCAGAATCCATGTTTCAGGACCCACGGGAACTTGTTCTGCACTATTATTTATCTGATGATACTATCGATATAAAAGAAATTGTACCTGCGAACTCAGGCCGGGATGCAATTCCACGTTTCCTCAGAAGAGATAAGCTCCCAAAGGTGAGGAATGAAAATGTCAACTTATTTCAAATTCTTCTGCTAATTAAGAAATATTAAATGCTTTGTTTTGAAAACCCTGTATTAGGATGGTCATGATATTTAGAAAGCGTATCACAGTATTAATCATAATTGCATGACTTAGGTTTTGCACACTTTAATAAGTCCTGGGAAAAAAATAAGTTTAGGCTTGTCTTGCTGAACATAAAAGTAGAGAGAATTTAGGCAGAGAGATATCCTACGAGTCCTTTTTCCCATACTAAGGTATTAAGGTAAACATATTAATGAAGCTCTGATGTAATGGAAGTCCAGAAAATGAATTCATATTGATAGATGAAGTAATGTAAAACGGACTTTAATTCACGTTTGATCCGTATTACTTATGTTTGGAACCTTTGGAAAAGTCCAATTATAGTATCCCATAACATTACTTCTTTGTAGCAAATTTAGAGTGATTTCTTAAAATCGAGTTCCTAGGTTTGAGACCTTATGTAAAGCTAGTTAAAATCAATAGGAATCCATGAATAAGCTTTGTCAGGCCTTAATCAGGTGCTTATTCGAGAAGGCTTCTCTCAAAGAAATCTTCAAGGGATTTGAGTCCTCTGTATCCTGCCATGACTATGAAATGACTATGAAATTAACAAGCTAGACACACTTATATATTGGTCCAGACAGATGGTGGTGATAGGATAATGTCAGCTTACAAGTGGAGTAAGAAACTGAGGAATCTTTACCTTCGTTTCCTCTTAATACTGGTAATTTATTTGTGATGCCTTAGATGTATATGAGATTTTATAGTAAACACCCAATGGCAAAATATTGCACTTTGGTCACCTTGTGCGTCCTATGTTCTGAGATGCTGATTTATCAGTGGCTCTGTGTTAACAGACCCCTTCTAGCATTGAAGTGCATGTTGCAGTTTTAAGGGCTGGCTTCTTCCTCTGAATTCAGTGAAAATTTTGAGAACAGCAGCAGAGGAGATCAGCCAAAAGTTGGGTTGTCAGGGAAGGTGGTAAGACTAAACCACTTTGGTTACTCTTCATCAGCAGTTTGTTCATAATTAAAAAAACAAAAACAAAACGAAAAAAACCTAATGTGTTTGTGTATTAAGTTTGATATTACTGGGATAAATTACTATTCTAATTTTGAAACTCACGATGGAAACAAAAATACTAACATTTTTTCCAATAGAACGATGCTGACTTGAATCCTCTGTGTTTGTACCTTGGTTAGCACAGTAGGACCAACCCTGAGTGGTTCTTTTGCATGCTTTTACAATTATTACCAACCAAAATAATAGCCTTTGGAGCAGATGTTGGCAATGATGTTCTGCTTTGGGTGTGCTAACCTGTGCTTTCTGTTTACTTCCAACAAAAAGGAGACTTTACTCTTGGATACACAATAAGATTCTGAGTGTTTCTTCTGGCAGAGGTTCTGGCTTTTGACATACACACTGGCTTTTAGGTTTGGTGGTGTACCCTTTCCTTAGAAAACTCCCAAGAAATTTCTAAGAAATTTTCCCAAGAAATTACTGCAATAACAGCTAGTCTGTACAAAATCTGCTATTTCTAGGGTAACTGTGTTCTCTTCCTTCACTGTGAAAAGTATTTCTTAAGAGTTGGTCTCTTTTCTTGCAGTATGCTCCCACTGGACTGTATCAGCCAGGCACAATCACCAGTCGCACGGTTCTCAATGTGTTTGGAAACTTAGTAGGAAACAAAGGCTATTACATTTTGGACAATCGTAAGGTCGAGTATCATGGAGTGCTTCCAGCTGTTGAACGTCTTTATCGTAGTTTTTGTTATTTCTGTGGTTACTATCTACAACAAAGAGAGTTATTTTTAAAATTGTGTTGCCACTGTAGAATAGCTCAAATGAAAACTACCAAAATTTTCTGTATGCAAATCCCATGTTTCTGAAAGTGGGAAAACTTAGCATGGGGTAAAAAATACTTGCAAATGAACTACAAAAGTTATATTTTAAGTCACACACACACTAAATGACCTAAATTTTAAGAAAGGTTGTGGGATTATGAGATTTATAGAGCTGCTATATAAATGTTCCCTCCTTTATTAGACAGGAGCAGTGCGTCAAGAATTTTACAGAGACAGTGACTTGAAAATAGGGGCAGTAATTAATGTTTGGGGAAGGAAGATAATACTCTGTGATTGTGATGAATTCACTAAAGAATATTACAGGACAAAGTACGGAATTGGTAAGTACTAATACTTATCCTTTCCTTTTGAGGTTTTTTATACTTCTGAGTTTGACAGAGCTGTCTTCAAATTTTATTACTGGCAAAACATGTTCATTAAAAGCTTCAGCAATAACAATCTGTTGTAGGCTGTTAACAGCGAAGTAGTAATTTTGCAGGTGATCCAGAAGGGCTTTCTTATATGTTACTCCACTGAAAACTAACGCACAACCTACATGTTCTGTTCCTAACTGCCTCTATTTTAAAAGTTGGATGGCAAAATAGTCATATGGATAGACTGCCACTTCTCTTCTTTCCTCTCCCATTCCAATAGCTGTGTTTGCAGTCAGAAAATAATAAAGAGCATGTAGTGAGTGTTAAGTAGAATGAGCTCAATTATTCCCCATTATACTATGTTTCATTTTATATGGATGTCAGAATCCTCATATAATAAGATTTCCTGCCACAACAGTAGTAATCTATCACATTATTGGTTTATACAATGCAGTTTTGTGTATTCTAGATCATTAGAGTATGTATCCTGTGAAGCTTCAGCACTGAATTCTGGAAACATTTACCAACTATGTCCATAATGGAAAGGCATTTTGGAATAGGAGCTTTCGTTTATCTGTCTCTGTATTCCCTCAGTCAGACTTGCTAATGGTTCTATTATGGACATCTTGCTGAAAAAATTACTTAGTTAATTCCTGTCAGTTTATTCATTCAATAAATACAGCTGTCTGACTGTTCAGATGGTCAGAAGAATCCTACTGTGCCTTTTCTTTGACATTGTGAAACAAAATAATCTGAGTAGACTATTTCTTACAGCTTCACTTGTGATCAGATAGCATGCAGTGTTTGGATCAAAGCTTGTTTGCTGCATTTGGGGAATTAAATGATATAACGCTGCCATTGAAACACTACATTTCTTGACCTGCAAAACATGTCTTATTAGGACTTTTTCAGTAATAGCTTGGCATGTCTGTACCAAGATAAATCTTTTCTCATGCTAGCCAGTGTGTGAGGAAGCCATATTCAGTAATCATAGTATTACATATAATAATAGTGAGTCTGACTCCAGAGGTGCAAACCAGGGTTTTTTTCCCTGAGAATTTCTTCAGCCAAGACCGCTGCCACTGTTTGGCAGCAATACCTTCTCTGAGCAAAGTATCCTGGAACAGTGCACAGGGATTTCTTACGCACAGCAGACAGTAAATGGAATGCAGCTGAGCATTCTGTATCAACCAAGCAGTGCAACCAAGTGTTACATGGATGCAAAGGCTCTTCCCCTCCTATAACACTGGCTCAGTAATTACTGGCTATGTCTCTGGATGTTAAAGTTAGGTGGTTTTCAAGTTAGAAGGAGTCAGAAGTTGCCGATGTGCAGAATTCTAAAAAAAATGGGACCACAAGTGGCCTACTCCATTCCCATTGTCCTGAGGCAGGACAGCATATATACATGGATTGTCACTGGCTGATGTTTGTATAGCCTTTTATCAGCATCCTGCAACAGAGATTACTTGGCCTCCTGAGGTATCTTGTCCTAACCTCATAGTAAGAAATGTAGCTTAATAGCTACTCTGAAGTTGGTTTGTCTAAACTGAGAAAGTAACTTTTTTTTTCTCACCTTTGTTGGACATGGAGAACAACTGCTCAGTATCCTCTTTTTATAACAAACTTGTGCATATTTGGACACTATTCCAGTACATCATCTTACCACCCTAACCCACTCCTGTGCCATTTGCTGCCAGGGGAAACCTTTCAGTCTTTCTCTGTAGCCCATTCTTTTATATCTGTAATAATTTTTCTGGCTTTTCTCAGTGCTGCATCCAGTTTCTCTGCCTCCTTAAGATGAAACACACAAAGATGTGCTTTAGCTGAGACCTTCAGGAAACTGAAGTGTTTTGCACATACCTTTAAGGTATGACAGCAGAGACTCCAGCTAACATGAAAAAACTATCCATCTTAATGCAGCCTGTCTTGTTCACAGAAAATAGACACTTTCTTAGAGCGAAGAGGTTCTCACAATTTGCTGTGAAATTCTTTCCTGCTTTCCATCAGGATAAAAAAAAAAGTAGGTATGACTTTGTAACTAGAAGGGACTAGGAGTAGAATCGGGGCAGGTTTTGGCTGAGAAACAGGTCTTGAGAGAGAAAAGGTGAGGGCTCACCTTTTGTTCTTAGTGAGTTACAAATTTACTTTGTGTCTGGTGAACGTACGAGGTACTCTCAGTGGGCTCAGTCCCACAAAGTGCCTGGTATTCTGCTCCTATCCAATTAAACACTGAAACATGTTTAATTGCAGTTTGAGTCCAGGGAGACCATTTACTTGAGTAAGAGTAAGCAAGCGGATAAATTAGTTCTTGTATCAAAGCACAGTGCTCAGCACCTCGTGGCATCAATCCAGCTGTTTGTTACTGTGTTTTCACATTGCTCCCCTTCAATGTCTACTCATTCTGCCAAAGCCATTAAAGAGGTCCACATTTATTTTTGACTCTGCAGTTTCAGCACAAGTTGCTTGCTGATGGAATTTGCCCTTTAGGAGAATTAAGGGCAGTTTAGATTTCCCTTGAAGTGCATGATTATGATATCTGATATATTTCCAGTGTTGGTTTTGCCTGTTTTTACTCCTTATAGTGTTTGTGAAAAGCAAAGGAGAGCTTTTCCGTGGGTAAAAAATAGCTAACACCCTTCAATAGGAAGTTAATGACATTACTGAAATCAAGCAGTGCTATGAATGCAAGAGAAAATGCCTTAATGTGTGATATTATCTGTCTGGACTTGCTAGTGCAGCCTCAGAGGAGGAGAAGAATATTCAATAGCCGTGTAGCTGAAATGTGAAATATACTGAAGTGCAACAAGGAGGAATCTGATACTCATTCTTCTCGCTGAATCAGAATCTTAGCACAAAGTTTAGAGTTGAGTATAAAGTATTCTTTCTTTAATAACAGATTATTCCTGAAGGAACAAACCCAGTAAAATCTGGTTTCCTACTGAATTTTATTAATTGTCCCAGCACCTCCCAAGCCTGTCCGCTACGCCTTTTCGCGGCACCCTGCAATCCCTCTGGTCTCCCAGCTCTCCTTGCCCTCCCACCCCCTCATTTCTCAGGCTCCCTCTCTGACCTGCTGCCTGGGTAGAGCAGCGTGTGGGGTGCTGGGCTGGCCAGTACATATGTGCTTTTGGCCAGGCAGCTGCTGCTGGATAACAGCTGACTTCTTGCTTTTCCCTCAGTGGGGGCATTAAAGCCTGCTGCCAATTTTCACTAGACTTGACAGAGATCGGAGTCTTGCTGGCGTCTAACTGTTCTGCTACATGTCGTGGAGACTGAGCAGTGGCTTCTAAATATAATTGTGCTTTTACAGTTGCCTTTTTTCCTCAGGTAACCAGAACTATTATGAAGTAAGACTCTGTAAAAGGAGAATTTTCTTTGAATCAGAATAAACACTGTCCAGTTTTAGCTGCATGGATGATTCTGTAAACACTGGATGTTCTCTAATCCTGCATGTAAAAGTTGTGAAGATGGTGGTATTGCCTTCTCATTTTGCTTCTTACCTAGACTGTGAAACAGGCTTTCACAAAACACAGGTCTCAGCTGTTTATTACACCTCTCCTCTTACATATAGAGAACATCATGTAATCCCTGCAGGTTATATCCATCTCTTCTATTGTCCAAGGCTGGTGTGATTTCTCTCTCCTGTCCTTGTCTGTAATGCTCAGAGGTGTCTGTCCTCTTCCTCTGAAGGCAAAGTTTCTTGCCTGCCTGCTTGCTACATACTGATATTCAATGTGGTTATCACACTAATACAAAATATGCAGCACTTGACTCTTCCTTGAAATATGGTGTTATCTAACACATGGAGGGTCTTCCTGCAGTTCTTCAATGGAGGGCAGAAGGTAATCTTACACTAGAATCATAGAATCATTTAGGTTGGAAGGGACCTCCAAGATCATCAAGTCCAACCATTGAGCCATTAGGGCTCTAAAGTCCTCTGCTAAAGCAGATCAGAATCTGTCAGGGTTGGAAGGGCCCAAAAGGACCAGCCAGTTCCAACCCCTCTGCCATGAGCAGGGACCCCTCCCACTAGATCAGGCTGCCCAGAGCCGCATCCAGCCTGGCCTTAAAGCCCCCCAGGGATGGGGCCTCAACCACCTCGCTGGGCAACCCATTCCAGGGTCTCACCACTCTCATGGTGAAGAACTTCTTCCTCAGGTCCAGCCTGAATCTGCCCACTTCCACCTTTGCCCCATTCCCCCTAGTCCTGTTGTTACTCGATAGCCTAAAAAGTCCCTTCCCAGCTTTCTTGTAGGTCCCCCTAAGGTACTGGAAGGCCACAATAAGGTCACCTCAGAGCCTTCTCTTCTCCAGACTGAACAGCCCCAACTCTCTCAGTCTGTCCTCATAGGAGAGCTGCTCCAGCCCTCGGATCATTCTCTGTATAACAAAATCTTACAGTGTATCTTGAAACTAAAAGCAGACTAGCTCATTCAAGCTACTTTAATCTGCTTCTTTGGCAACAAATTCTGGAGGAATTTAGTTTTTCCTCCTATCTATCTTCACATTGTTTATATGCTAAAAATGTGACTGGGGTTGTTTTGTTTCTTGCTGTTCCCTGTGCTTGTTCAACTCTTACCCAGGTTTTGATGTCGTGAGAAAAAGTTGCTGACATGTGGCAAGTGTTCAATAGACTCGATGAAATCAACTCCCTAGGGCCAGCCCATCTCCTGCTGGGCAGTAACAAGGGCCAAAACTGTCCGTGGGGAAAATACCTGTGCTATTCTTTCTGGAAGTAGAAATTTCTAATCCCAAGCTTTAAATTTACCCTCTACCCACTGTAAATTCACACAGAACTGTTACAGCCTGGAAGACAGCATTGATTCCTGTTCCAGACTGGCCAAAGGCAGTTTTCATAAGAAACAGCGTTAACCTTGATAGGAGTGCATTTTATGTGTAAGTGGCAGTTGTCTGTCTGGTGCTGCCCTAATGCTGCCCAGCAGAGCAAAGATGAAGCAAGTTTTGAG